GACGAGAGGAGGAAGAGGAGACGAGAGGAGGAAGCGGAGACGAGAGGAGGAAGAGGAGAGGGCACGAGGCACGGAACGAGGCCTGGCATATGACTGACAGCGACCGCGATGTCCGGGAGAGGAGTCCGAACTGGAGGAACGAGAATGAGCCAAGGGAAGAGAAGAGAGGGAGGAAGAGGAGCGAGAGGAGGAAGAGAGACGAGAGGAGGAAGAGGAGACGAGAGGAGAAGAGAGCGGAGCGGAGACGAGAGGAGGAAGAGAGCACGTGCACGGAACGAGGGCCTGGCATATGACTGACATGACAGCGAGCGTGTCCGGGAGAGGAGTCCGAACTGGAGGACGAGAGAATTGACGCCAGGGAGACGAGAGGAGGAAGAGGAGACGAGAGGAGGAAGCGGAGACGAGAGGAGGAAGAGGAGACGCACGTGCAGCGGAACGAGGGCCTGGCATATGACTGACAGCGACCGCGGTGTCCGGGAGAGGAGTCCGAACTGGAGGACGAGAATGAGCAGGGAGACGAAGAGAGGAAGAGGAGGCGAGAAGGAGGAAGCGGAGACGGGAGAAGAAGAGACGAGGAGAAAGGAGACGAGAGGAGGAAGCGGAGACGAGAGGAGGAAGAGGAGCACGTGGCACGGAACGAGGGCCTGGCATATGACTGACAGCGACCGCGGTGTCCGGGAGAGGAGTCCGAACTGGAGGACGAGAATGACGCCAGGGAGACGAGAGGAGGAAGAGGAGACGAGAGGAGGAAGCGGAGATGAGAGGAGGAAGAGGAGACGAGAGGAGGAAGAGGAGACGAGAGAGAGAAGCGGAGACAGAGGAGGAAGCGGAGACGAGAGGAGGAAAGAGGACGAGAGGAGGAAGAGGAGACGAGAGGAGGAGGAGATGAGTGAGGAAGAGGAGACGAAGAGGAGTCCGAACTGGAGGACGAGAATGAGCCAGGGAGACGAGAGAGAAGAGGAGACGAGAGGAGGAGAGAGACGGAGACTTGAGGAGGAAAGAGGAGGACGAGAGAGGAGGAAGACGGAGGAAGAGGAGAGAGAGAGGAGGAAGAGGAGACGAAGAGGAGGAAGAGGAGAGAGACAGAGAGGAAGCGGAGACGAGAGGGAGGAAGAGGAGACGAGAGGAGGAAGGGAGACGAGAGGAGGAAGCAGAGAGAGAGGAGGAGAGGAGACGAGAGGAGAAGGAGAGACGAGAGGAGAGGAGACGAGAGGAGAAGGGAGAGGAGACGAGAGGAGGAAGAGAGACGAGAGGAGGAAAGGAGACGAGAGGAGGAAGAAGGACGAGAGAGGAGAGCGAGACGAGAGAAGCGGAGACGAGAAGGAGGAAGAAGGAGACGAGAGGAGACGAGAGGAGGAAGAGGAGACGAGAGGAGGAAGAGGAGACGAGAGGAGGAAGAGGAGACGAGAGGACGAGAGGAGGAAGAGGAGACGAGAGGAGAAGGAGGAAGAGGAGCGAGAGGAGAAGAGGAGACGAGGAGAGGAGGACAAAGGAGGAAGAAAAAAAAGGACAGAGGGAGGAAGAGAAGCACGAGGAGAAGAGGAGACGAACAGAAAACGGAAGACATAGCCGACTCTACAGGGGTGCCCCCCCCCCCCCACCCCAATATTAATTATATAATATATATATATATAATATAATATATAACGTATATCAATGCATATACATAAGTACATATCTTTAATATGTATGTATGTAATGTTTGTATTATGTATGCATGTATGGTATGACTTTGTATGTATGTATGCATGTATGTATGTTGTATGTATATGTTTGTAGTATGTAGTATGTTTGTAGTATAATATTATGTGTACGGTAGTACGTAGTATGAATGTATGTATGCATGTAAGGTATGTAAGTACGTATGTATGTATGTATTTGATGCATGTTTTATATATTATGTATCAGCATGTTGTAAATATTATGTTATGCAGATGTAATTACGTAGTAGGTTTTGGTGTATTAATGTATAGGCGCTCTAGCGTTCGAGAGTCCCGAGGCCGGCGCCGCGAGCCCAGAAGGACCGCATCTCCTCTGAGCCCCAGAGAAGGAGCGAGCGACTGCGTGTTGCGGTCAACGTGTGCTCGGCATATTATTATTATCATATATTGTCATTAATTATTATTATTATCATATCGTATCATTAATCCATTACTGTTATATGCTATTACTTATCATTACATTACCTGTATTATTGCTATTATCGTTATCATCATTATCATCACATCATTATTGTTATTATTATTAATATTTCGTTATTGTTGTATTATTAACTGTGGCTTGGAATTCGTGCAATTTCTGTTTTGGCTTGAAAAAGACATTTTTTTCGTTATTATTTTTTTATTTTAACTTGGGGTTTGGATTCGTGCAACTTCCGGAATTGCTTGGCTTGAAAAGACATTTTAGATTTATCTTGAAACCGAATAGTATAATTATAGATGATGATGATAAAGATGACAATTCAGGGATAATGACAATAACAATAGTTAAATAATGATAGAAAACAATGAACAATGATGATGGTGATAGTGATAACAAAATAATGATGATATGATAAATAGTAAAATATAAACACATATAACGTGTAGGAGCAATAGTACATAATACCGATTTAACAATGATAAAAAATCATGATAATGATATATATAATATTATATGTACATATTTGATATTAATTGTTGTAATGATTCGAACGCAAAGTAATTTTGTTTGCCTCGTGTCAATATGATTTTGATTTGAGCGAAAGAAAAAGACATTTAGTTAAATCGTCTCAACTCGTACGTACGCTCCTTATACTGTTCAAATGTAATGCGCGATTGTTCATTGCTGTTCACCAAAACCCAAGCGGCTTTTGCGTTGAACCAGGACCTTGCACAAGACTAAGGATTGCACAATGAAATTTTATTTGGTTAAGTGCTTCAATTTTTTTTTATTTTTTTTTTATTTTTTTTTTTGTCGTTTTTAATCTACGTTTGTTCACTGATTTAAGGTTGGTGTTTTATTAGAGTCTCTATTCGTTTATTTGTCTTTTAATTTGGATTTTTAGCGATTTCTCACTTATGTCTTTATTATTTTTTCCTTCTTTACTTATATTTATTATTTTCTTATTTATTTTATTTATTTATTATTTATAATTCACTTATATTTATTTATTTAATTTCACTTATTTATTTCAGCTCACTTATGTCTGAAACGAAACTGAAACGCATTCACTTAACGGATGTCAGTGATAAGTTAAAGACAAAAAATTACTCGAGATGTTTGCCAACTTTATATACGTTTTACGGTTCAAGGTCATCCCTCCTGTGATATCATATTATTGTATCAATTTTCATCCCGTCAGAATCGCACACAGACACGCACCCACGCATTCAACATACATATGGCCACACACACACCAGTATTATATACACATCGGACACTGCCTTTCATCGCCAGTCCTCTACACGGACAAACCATTCCTTTGCGGTCATGGAAGGCCCCTTCCCCCCCTTCCCAGACACACAACCCCACTCCCTCTAATCCCCTTAACTCATACCCCCCCCCAAAAAAAATAATAATAATAAATAAAATAAAGAATAAAATAATAATAATAATAATGATAATATAATAATATATATAATAATAATATATTACAATAACTCACTCAACCACACAACGCATCCTCACTACTCCACACTTCTCTTCCAGACTCACCATTCCCAACTTCTCCTCCCTTATGACACAGCATCACACTCGTCCCCCTCCGCCCTTCCATTCCTCCACACACTGCACCCCCCTCTCCCACAGACGTCCCTCACTGCGCTCTTCCCGCCTATCCTCTTGGCGTCGGAGGCAACCAACTTCAGCGTATGAGTGCTCCAGCAGTCGGTGACCTCTTCCCTGAGTACAGAGCCACCGCCATCACCATGCTGTTGGCTACGTAAGCCCTCTGCCGGCGCTAGACCTCTTATATAAGACTTATGTAGACCTTGACCAGGCTTAGTACCAGTGCTAGTGCCGTCTTCTCTTCCGGGGTCAGCGGTTCGCGCCGCGGCCGCCCAGTTGCGAGAAGTTGCAATTGTCGCCCGGAGGTTACTGCTGTGGCTGTCTGGCATACCCTGCCGGTGGGGCTTGGGTAAGCTACTAATGCTCTTGTCGCGTCAGCACTCTTGACGCGCACTGATCGAGTCCGGGCCGAAGGGCGAGGCTCAGCTTCGCATATTCGGACTTGTCCTTGTCCTTGATGTGAGGTTCGGTTGAGTTGAAGGAGCTCGTTGTCGGGCTTTGAACCGGCGTCTCCTGTCGGGAGAGCGCTGGTCTGGTCTGCGGGGCTGTGGGTGGTCTTCTGTGTGGGGGATCGACCTGTGCGCGCGCGAGGTTGTGGTTGACCTTCTCTGCGCCGGGAGTGAGGTGACCTTCCTTGCCTGTGGGTTGAACTGATCTTCGTGTAGATTGAATTGACCTTCTTTGTCTGCGGATTTGATTTTCTTTCTCTGTGGACTGAACTGACCTTTGGCTGTGGGTTGAATTGAACTTTTTTCAGCGGATTTAACTGACCTTCTCTGTCTATGGTTTGAAACCTCTGTATTTTGCTGACAACAGATTGACTTTGATATAGAGGATTCAGGCTGGGGGGATTGAAAACGTATATATTTATTTTGTTTTACATTTATGTACTTACCTATGAACAATGGTTTTGTTCTTTAGTAGTTCTTCTGTTTCACTTAGTATTACAAATTCAATGATTCCCATTACTATAACATAAAGTATTATTATATATTACAGATTATATTACATTAATTCTTAGCAGAATTATTTCAAATTATTATATGATAGTAGATATTAGTATATTGTTGGTAATATATTTAGTTTTAGTATTGATATATTATTATCTTTTTAGGCTGCTAAATTTGCCATAGAATAGAAGTACACATTCGCAAGGATAGTTATAAATAACTGGGCCTCCCGACCTGCGCAAATTCCTGAGCCGGTTTCCAAGCCCCATTTCTACAAGCTCGCAAATATTCATTATTTCGAAGATTTACGGCGATGTTAAAAAATGCGATAGTAAGAGCCTTCTCAAGAAATAGCCTTTATACTCGGACCCAGAAAATGTAAAAAAAAAGCGAGAGATAAGGAAAGGAACAGCCGCAATTAGCCAAATTTAAATTATTCAGTTTAAAAGTAGCCTAAGACCTCTGTAAATTATACAGGAATTTGTTCATCCTTCCTCAGACCCCAGACGTCAGAGAACTAAGCGTTATTATAACGTCAAGCAAGGACCATTGCCATTCATCCGCTGCATAGTTACTTTTTTCTCGTTTTCGGCAATTAGCAATGTTCCTGTTGCTGTAGTTGCTTTTAATTCAATTGCCCTGACCTACGTTATTCCTGCAATTATTGCATTTAGTTGCATATCCACGATGTTTATGGAAATCCCCGAAATATTGGTTCACCTCTCTCTCGCAAGCTTCCTCGTCTTCATTAGCAATATTCATTCTCCTCTATCGTTTTACACGTCCGATGGCGCGGGCATCCCTCGGGCCCACGTGTGCTGGGCCCTCGCCGCCCTCTCAGCACCCTCTCCGCTTCCTGTCCTTCATGCATGCCAGTCCACCACATCCCGGTCCACAACCAGCGTAAGTGCACAAGGATTCTTAAGGACAGGGAGAGGGATAGAGAGAAGGATTGGTTGGGTTTACGGACTACATGGACACGCTCGCTTCGCTCGCTCGCTCCTCTTTCTCTTTCTCTTCTCTCTCTCACTATTTCTATCCTATCTATCTATCTCTCTCTCGTCCTCTCTTCTCTCTCTCTCTCTCTCTCTCTCTCTCTCTCTCTCTCTCTCTCACACATACAACACACACACACACCACACACAACACACACACACACAAACACACACACACAAACACGTGTTTATGTGCGTACGTATGCATATATATATGCTAGCTTGATACAATGGTTTAAAAAACACCACACAAAATAGATGGACTGAAAGATGAGACAACAGATTCGAAGTCCTTCTGGCGGGTTTCGAAATTGATGTCTCATCTTTGACTTTTTTTATATAGTTTTTCCACTACATAGAAAACATGTACATAGTAACAGATGATGGTGATGGTGATGGTGATGGTGATGAATGGTGATGTGATGATGATGATGATGGTGATGTGATGATGACGATGATGGTGCGATGGATGAATGATGATAGTGATGATGATGCATGATAGATGATGATGATGATGATATGATATTTATGATATTATGATGGTGATGTGATCAAATACACGAAATATAAAGATAATAATAGTTGGCGATGTTTCTCAATCGCCTCAAAACACAAATCGAATATAAAGATTATACAACCAGCTTACAAGTGAAAAATACATATACCAATATGCGTATATGTCTTTCGGTGTTGGTATCGGCCTGCACACATTTCTGATGAGAGGCCACGTGGCTCCTGGTTAAGTAGGTCCAATAATGCATGAACTAACCCTTACCTGTGGGATTATTACGTGCCCTTTCTACTTCATCGACATACCCCCGTGGACACTGAATCTTCACTGTAAACATGATTGAAAAGGACTTGAGGGTTTAGCAGAATGAAGAGGAAAGGATAGGTCAGGAGCCGGCAGCGCCAAGGTCAGAACGTGACCTTGGAATAGACCAGGCAACGGCAAGGTTATCTGTCAACGCTGTAAGTGTAAACGCTCGTGAAGGCTATTGTAATAAGTAGATTATATTTCTGATCAGAAACGAGTTGTTTGGGATAAAAATGGGCACATTAGCTGCTTCGATAGTTACCTCGTTGGTATTGTTAGCGATGAAATAAACGTTTAAAGTTTGAAGCAATGAACGGCAAGGTTATCTGTCTGTTAAGGCCGTGAAGGATATTGCTGGTCAGAAACGAGTTCACATTAGCTGCTTCGTTTTACCTCGTTGGTATTGTTAGCGATGAAATAAACGTTTAAAGTTTGAAGCCGTTATCGTGCTGTAATTAAAGGCGTTTATAGGCACCTCGATAACAGCGCTTTCTCCGGGGACGAACTGCAGTTGGAGACCCGACGTGAAAAGAGCTGCCTCGCTCCGTTGCCCTGTCGATTATCATTCACACGAGATTACTCAGTACATTACCATGCATACGGTGTGTTGCCGGGCGTGCTTTTGGGCAGAGGAGCCACGCTTAGCCCACCGCAAGACGCCACTCTCACGACACTTGGCATCTTCACCGCGGACAAGGGACCCTAAATGGAAATACTTATCAGCTGTTTCCCGCTGTTTAATCTCAAGAGGCACTTCACTGTACTGTATGATGGACTTGTAAAAAAAAATATGAATGATTCACAAAAGCGACACATCAGAGATCGGAGCGAATAAAAATATAAAACAGATTCAAGTTACGGTTCGCACGCCTACTTAAGAATTCACAAAAGCCACACACACCATAGATCGGAGCGAATAAAAATATAAAACAGATTCAAGTTACGGTTCGCACGCCTGGTAATTTTGTAGTAGGTTAGCCTATTTTCGAAAGTATAGAGAAAACGCACCTTAAATTTTTGTACCTGGCTGACTGCACACCTGATGCCCTCAAATGTGAATATGATACGAAGGAGTAGGAGTGATATGACTGAGTAACTATCAGAGACAACTGATGACGAGCCACGTGGGTGTAGACAATTGTTATGCGATGAACGTTAGAGATGTTATAAAAGAAAGTAAATGATTTGAAGAGAACGCTTTTGTTAAAACATACAGCAAGTAGAATATGCTTGAGTTAAACAGTATTGATTATGCACAATATTAAAGAATTTCAGTGACTGCAAAAGTGAAGCCTGAAGATGATATTTAGGACACTTTCTTTATATCTTGTGCATACCCGAGATAACGAAAACTTGCTTTCCACATTGTGAATTACCACTAAATGCAGAGTATTACAAGCTGGGAAATTGGGTTAACTCAGGGCCATGCTAGTCATGAGTAAACGAATAAACGTAACGAATAAAGATACAAGCACAATGAATATCACTTGTGCAGAGATTCAATGAAACGCCGCCACATCAAGAAAAGGAACAAAAACATCAAGGGAATTGTAGTGAGGCGAGACTCCTCACCATACAATGGTATCGAAAACATCTCCGAAAATCGTTCCACCTTTTTACGGCCGTTTCATTTGAGGACGTCACCTGTGGCGGGACCTGACCAGAATTACGTTGTTGTGGGTGATAAGGGGCACGGTCAGGTAGGGGCCGGAGCTATTATTCCACGCCCAAAAGAGAAAGTCTTTCACTGGTGACATTTTTTTTTCTCTTTTCCTAGCTTTGTCAGGGATGCGCGGTTACTTTGGAGTAAATTGTACTTGATTTCGGTTGAGAAACGGAGTTATTTGAACGAAACGGAATTAAATAATATAGTAGATAACTTGAAAATTGCTTCTCATAGTGTAGATACTATGAGAGGCATGAATGAAACTCAATTAAACAGGATAGCGATTACCTTGAAAATTGCTTCTCATAGTACACATCGAGTCACACGTCATGACACGAAATTAAATAGCTTAATAAATACCTTGGAAATTGCCTGTCATGGCATACACCCGTTCGCCAAGGAACCGAACCCCCCAAAAGGCCTTTTTAAATCGTAAAATTCCCTCTTTTTCAGAATCCCAGAACCAGGACACCATTGAGTCGCCATCGTCCCTGAAGACGAGTATCTGGTCCGCCTCGTCCTTCCTTCACCAGCTTTGGTTCTTCGTGAATCTACTCGCGATAAACAACTACCAACAGTCTTATAATGTTTGGATTACCAGTGAGTTGACTGTGTGTTTTTTTTTTTTTTTTTTTTTTTTTTTTTGTCTCGTCGTCTAGTTTGCCTCCTGAATTTCAACGGTTTTAAATACAATAGGCCTACCTTCATCGGGTTACCAGTGTGTTGATTTTTTGTTTTTTGTTTCGTCACCTTGTTTGTATTTTAAAAAGTAGTTGAAGTGCAGTTACCATCACATAACTGATGTATAGATCAACTAGCACTGATCGTGATATCAATAATGATTTTTATGATGACGGTGGTAATTGCTACACGAATTGGAGTCCGTGATAGTGAGACAAATTTACTCGTAGCAAAAAACATTCATTTTCTCTGTGACTTACTGACTCGATTTTGTTTTTCAGGTTCGTCATGTAGTGTGACAGAAGCGGGGCTGTATTCGATGTTATTCAGCTACAGCAACCTACTGACCGTGTTCTTTGGGCCTGTTGGAGGGGTCTTCACGGATTACATGATACGGAAAGCATATAGAAGTAAGGCGAAGAGAGTGGAGGGAGAGACTGACAGATATATATAGGAATAGGCCACCTGCCGAGAGAGAGAGAGAAGTGAGAAGAGAGAGAGGGAGAAGAAGGAAGAGTAGAAAGAACAGGGAGAAGAAGAGAGAGAGAGAGAAGAGAAGAAGGATTGGAGAGAAAGAAATATGTGTATGTGTATGCCAGCTAGATTAATTTAGATCAGCTTTCTACATTTCTCCAATGCTTTAGTCAGAAAGCCAGTAATTTCCAAGGCAAGAAATGCACACCTGCAGTACGTAACGCGACACACTTGGAAGGAACATTTCCGACACACTTGTACCACGCTGCACCGATTAACGACGACTGCCATAAAACGACCTGCAACAACCAAATTTCAAATGCCATTCTCCGGGTGTAATAGCCACGCCTTCCGTCCGCAGCGCCTAACGAGCTGGACCGCCGAGTGAAGGAAGTGCAGGCGTCCTTCTGGCCGCTCCTGGTCACGACGGTGTTCACCTCCATCATGTACGCCTGCCTGCTGTTCTTCCACCCGGCTGCCATCTACGTCTCCCTCCTGTGCATGGTGGTGTCCAGGCCTTGTATCATCGCAGTGTCCACGGCCTACCTCAGGATCAGGTGAACCTCTCGCATGCGGAGGACCAGGATTTGGTCTTGTATAAAAGGCTAGAGACATATTTGTACATACATAGATACTTAGACAATGTCATTCACTAATACTAACAGCTATCCAAACAAATACACACGCACACACACGCACACACGCACACACACACACACGCGCGCGCGCACGCACACACAACACACACACACACACACACACACACACACACACACACACACACACACACACACACACACACACACACACACACACACACACACACACACACACACACACATCAATATAAACCAATGATAGAGATAATGTAACGTCCTCCTGACCTCTGACCTCTCTCCTGCTGCCAGGTTCCCCGCCGGGCATTTCAACCGCCTGCTGGGCATCTACGGCACCGTGGCCTCCGCTCTGCTCTTCTTGCAATACCCTCACTTCATGTGGGCGCAACATATGTATTATGCGGTAAGAATCTGCCTCATGCATCACCAACACATTTCCTTCAGTAATCCCTTCGCATTTATCATGACGTAATCTTTTGTTCTGGGCTCTCTGGAAGGATTTTGCTTCGTTGCATCTTGTGGTTGTGGAAAAGGTTGTAAGGTCTATGGTCGCGAAACCTGACTGATTTGATAATGACAGAGCTAATCCATATGTCAAAGCTAATTCGTATATTATCACCAAATATATTAGGTTAAGTCGCAGTTCTCTTTCCATGTAATGTCCTTATTATCCCAATTAGTTTAACACGTGATTCCCTCATATCTTCAGGGATGTCAACCAATGTTTTTTTCTCTCTCTTTCTTCTTTTCTTTTTTCTTTTTCTTTTTTTAGCAACGTTTTCAGCAAGCGAAAAGAAAAATCACGGAGGCTAAATCCACTGAGTCCGGGCATGTGATCTAGCCCTCGTGACTTTTTTGTACCCCAAACAGCTGAACAACAAGAGCTGTGCGCGGGGTTGCACTGTCATGGTGGACCGTTCATTTGTTTGCTCGCCCCTTCGTCTCACGTCCTCACGCTAGAGTCAAGTTTCATATTTGCGTTTGCGGAATGTTAAAACGAAAACAGTTAATTATTCCCCACCAATCAGAATGAGGATCATAGTTTGTCTTGTCATTTACCTCGCTGATCAGTGGGCCTCCTGTCCTTGATGCAACAGAACTAGTCTCGGGACTATTGACTGAGACCTGGGATTTCAGAGATATTCTTCCCCTTTACACTTCTTAAGTAGCCAAAGAATGAAAGTGATTATCTTGAACATTCTTATTTGGTGTTTGTGTTGAGTACATATATATCAGCATAACATCATCTATTCTTAAGGTAACGACATCCTTTCGAACCATTGTCTTAAATTCCTAGGAATGTAAATGACCCGCAAATGAGTAAATGCAATGCAACCATGTAATTGCAATTACAACTATGAAACAGAGTGTTAGTAACAACCTCACTGCCTTTCTCCCTCTACCCTTCAATCGCTTGTTTCACCCGCTCGTGACCCCCGCTACAGCGCCCTTTGTCTCGTCCCCCAGGCGCACGCGCTGATCCTGGCCGTGCTGGCGGTGAGCTTCCTGAACCCGATCCACCTGCTCTTCACGCCGCTCATGCGACACGCCGTGGCCACGAGGGACAACCTGAAGCCCGAGGACCTGCACCCCGTCAGGAACACCTACGCTGATGATAAGGGGGTTAATGGCTTATAAAGTGGATTCTTTGGTCAACTAGAAGCGGTGGTTCAAGAGAGAGGAAAACGATAGAAGACTAGAAAAAAAAGATTGGGAAAAAAAAACTTCGAAGGTTTTGATTTTTTTAACAGTTTGTTTCAAAGTGACAGCTTACTAGAATGGAATTGTGCCAAGTGACAGGGACACGAATTCCTCTACAACTAAGATTAAGAATTTCAAGAGTATCATTCCATATGTTGAGGAGCTGGCATCATTAATGATATCAAATTGTACAATTTAAAACTTTGCTGAGGTCGTATTGATTCCGTGGCTTCCACAAAGCAATATATGATAATCATTTATTTTCGTATTACCCATCTGTCTTTTCATGTTTATACAAATGACATATGTACAGTGTACACCCACTCGTAAACATTCACATATATATATATATTATATATATATATATATATATATATATATATATATATATATATACATATACATATATATACATATTTATAAATATATACATATATGTATATATACATATATATATATATATATATATATATATATATATAATATATATATATATATATATATATATATATATATATACATATATAATTATACATATATATATAATATACATAATAATATATGTATAATATATTATATATATATATATGCATTATATATATATACATATATATATATATATATATATATATATATATTATATATATTATAATATATATAATATATATGTGTGTGTGCATGCGTGCGTACGCGGCGCGCGTGTGTGTCCATGTGTGTATGTATGTACAACTATATATTTTATGTACATCTTATATATATTTATCCATGCAAAATGCCCTAATGACCCAATCATTTCCAATCCTTCAGCTGAACCATATGAACCCAAGGCATGAAACACAATCACCAAATGAAAGATACAGTGAACCGTGACGTTTCGAGTCGACTCCTCCCCTCATCAGGCGGTGAAAGCAAACTATTATAGTGAGACTCGAAACGTTACAAATTTCAGCTCATTTCTTACTATGGTTATTTTGTTTCGATTTTTGTACCCTCATGAATATGTACTTTACCCTCATGAATATGTACTTTTTGTACTTTTTGTTCCCAAACTCCTAAATCTCCAACTGTGTGTGAGATGAAACTGTCCGGGATAAAGTCCAGTACGACCAAGTTTGTTACCGGATGCACTGGTGTCGCCAGATAAGGTTGTATGACGAGCGTTGTATGTGGTGTTGTATCTGTCCTATAGTGCCTCAGTCTTTCAAGCCGAATGCGGGTCCACATCTTTCGCTCAATGCAAAACTTTCGCTCCGTAAACGTATAGTGATCTAGGTTAGGGAAAAGAAATAAGAAAAATTATAATAGCTTCTGTACTAATTGATGGAAATAGTGTTGTGAATAGTGAATTAGTTCCTTTTGTGGTTTTGAAATGTATCCTGAAACAGAGCCATGTCCGCCCGGCCTCCGTCGGGCTTTCACTCACGGGTCTGACATGTATGTTAAAGACATATGTATGTGTGTCTGTGTATACATATATATACATATGTGTTATATAACATATAATATACATATATGCATATATATACGTATAATTATAACATATATATTTATACATTTATATATATGTATATGTATATATATATATATATATATATATATATATATATATATATATATATATATATATATATATATATATAGGTTGTGTGACGTCTCCTTCTGGTGCTACGTGAAGTGATCTGAGGTCATTGTCTTCCAGATGAAACCTCGCATCACCAAAGTGACTAAGGGATGTGTTGCTGTCGATTCTTGCTGTGTAACCGAGAGAATTTTGTTGAGAAACTGCAAAGCTCCGTGTGATATTTTCAGTGATCCTTAGATTAATCTGAATATATAATGTGGATATTAGTTGATGATACTGGAATAAATTCTCGAGAATTAATACTCAAAAATGGTCTTGTTTCTTTTCCTGATGATCAACACCTTGTTTCATAAAAAAAATATCAAGCCAATTAATTTCTCATTTATTAAAAGCACCTAAAGTTGTGCCGAAATATCAAGAAATGGGTTCATTAATCATCACCCTTTGTTACACACTGCGCTTGCGTAACAGTGCTCCCCCCCCCTCTCTCTCTCTCTCTCTCTCTCTCTCTCTCTCTCTCTCTCTCTCTCTCTCTTGAAAGCACTTAAGTGATGATGACTGTAATTGTAACAGAAAATAATAAAAGTAATAATAATAATAATAACTATAATCATAATAATTGTAATAATGATAAATAGCACTAATAATAACTATTACCATTAGTAATATTGATGATGGTAATAACAAACAATATTTTTACTATTGTTATAATCATTATTATTATCATTATCACTACATCGTCATTATTGTTATTATTATTATTTCTACCATTATCATTATTACGAACGTTATTATTACTATCATAATCAATATCATTATTACAATTTCATTCATTATTATCATTCATTATCATTATTATTATCATTATTACATTTCTTTTTACGATAATAATAATAACAAACTGTGTATATACTCTGTGCAAACCAGATTATCAAAATATCTAAAAATTAGCTGCTGGATCATGTAAACTTTCAGATCTTTAACAAAATCATTGAAAATATATGCAGCAATTTCAGAAAGTGGGTGCGCGTGCGTGTCTGTAGTGTGAATACAAAGACACAACCCTTTGCCTGCACATCATAAAAAAATTACATATGGCTTGAGAGTAACGGCGATAGCACAGATAAGGTATCAGCGTGCATGCTCCACGCCTAATCCCGTGGAGAGTTAAACAAGAATGTAATCAACCTCAGGCCTTCGCTGAGTAATCTGATGCTCCATTTCCTGCAACGACGAAGCAAGTCAGCTCTGCCTACACTGGCATGAGGCGGCCGGGCATTAAGGCTACTCATTCGTGACGCGTATGCGATGCAAAAAAAAGTCTGCACCACATTGCTACAGCCAGAGATCTAAATCATTATACTTATCATTTTAGTGGTGCAATAGCTCTTTGCCTAAGTAAGATACGACTATCATTGTTCATGTCTTGACGATAAATATATACATAATATACATAAATAAATAATATACATAAATAACCGCCCGGCAGCGAACAGTAAACAACACGAAAGTGAATACCAAGAACCGCAAATCCGGCGAAATCTTCCCTTGAAACTCCAGCAAAACTCGACAAGCATTCAGGATGGTCATGAAGATGAACATATTCATGTGGTTTCCTCCTAAATACGAGATCGCATTCCTCTCCACGTGTTCACTGTCCAGCCTGTTGAATACGCGCACATACACAGCCAGCACCACGCGGCGCCTCCACAAGTGCCGTCGGGGCTCGGCTGCAACAGAGCGCCCACTCGGGTTACTTCGGGAAGTCCTTATCGGGGCGTGACGTAAGGGCTGATATAACACGGAGGCTGTCGAGGAGCTGGCCGTGATTTGATTTATATTTGTGCTTATTTTTTCCTCTCGAGATGTTATTTAATGGATCGGGAGTGTGAATATTTAATTCTGATTTTTTCAACGGTATGCGAGTAGATATATCACCCCGTCCTCTCTTTGTGATTATTGTATCCGTTACCATTTACATACTGCAGCCATATCTGTTTCTACGCAGTATGTAAATATGGCTATTGCATAATCTAATAATACATACAAGTCACTTCCCCTCCAAGTGCACCTTGGAGATACCTCCATGTGAGCAAATAGACTTTAGAAACAAATCAAAACAGACAGAAAACCGAGAGAAGACAAACGCTAATCCAGCCCCTGATCGATGAAGACAAAAGGGCGTGTGCACCGGTTCCAGGAGAGGCGTGTTAGTCTGACGTCGCTTCAAACGCAGGTGTGAGGTGTGGTGCGGCCGCCTCGCCTCTGCACGAGTCTCCCCGCCCGTCATGGAGGGGCAGGGACGCGCGCCTCTCACCCTCTGGGCCTTCGTCACCCGCTACGACTTGACCCGTGAGTAATATGCGAGGCCTGGTATTGGTACTCGGTGTGGTAGTTGTTTCTGGATGTGCACGCCTTTGATGGGAGAGTGAGAGACGGAAAGCCAGCGGTCTGTGCCTTACCTCCGTTATTGATCGGTTTGTTTACACAGGCTTTTGCTTTTGCCATTTTCTTTGATGTAGGTTTAGGAGTGACTTAAGTATTCCGGTGCTTTGCCCTCCGTTTTGTGAAGACCCCTCATAATTTCGTGTTTGCGAGGTACTGGACTGCCATAAATCCATCGCAGAAAAGATAATTTTACGATTTTTCAGACACGGACGTCAACGGCGAGTGCAATGACAACAAACCGTTGGTGTCTTTGGCCATGCGGCCGGAGTGGACGGCTCGCGACGTGCAGAGGGAGCTGAAAAAGACTCTTAAACTTGACCAGTCTTCCGTGGATTCAAGTCTTGTGCTTAAGGTTCGCAATGGTGAAGGTATGCTTTTGCCTATGACACCCACAGCACTTAACAGTACATCTAAACAACCTCTTGTTGTGGAGGTTTGCGCACCACACCAGCACGGTAAGCCACCCATTTCTATATAATTTCTGTTAAGTGTTCATGGGCTACAGTTGTCGTTGCCATTGCTGTATCAGCCTGTTAAATAGTTGAAACTATAGAACTGCAGCAATTTACACTGTTATAACATTATTTTGTTGATTCTGTAATTATATCGTTGTTGTCAGCATGCTGGTTTGGAGTAGCATAATAATTTATATTTGTTTTATTATTGATAGAAGCAATTATAGTACTTGTATGTATATATTGTAATTAGTGTTGTAAGTACGCCTGTTGTTGTTGCAAATGATGATACCATAATTGTTCTTCTTTGTTGCTGTCTCCAGTGTTGGTGTTATTTTCAGTATTACTACTACGACGGTTGTTATTATCGCTGTCTCTTTCACCATTATCAGTATTACTTTTTCTCTGCCATCTTCATCAAGATTGTAGACGTCATCATCATACATTATAATCACTGGTATTGTTTTCATTCTTGTTATCATCTTTGTCATTAATAGCAGTAGTTATGCTATTGCTCCTGTGAGTTATTGATGGAAGAAGTAGTACCAGCAGTAGTGCTTATAGTAGTAAAATGTAGCTTTAGTATATAAAGGCCGGGAATGTAAGTAAAAGTAATATTATTGGTAAAAAGGTGATGATTATTTTAACTGTATATTTGCAGTGTTAAAAAAAAAGAAAGAAAAATATATACATATATATATCGGGGAAAAAAAGTCTTCATTTGGATATATTTCATATGATACATTAGTAATCAGTAGCAAATGTTTGTGTGTGTTTGCTTGATTGCGTGATGTGTTTGCATACATAGGAAAGCAAAGAAAGTCAGTGGTCCTGCTTCACAGATTGTATTCCAAACAACAAAGTGTGAAATATTTTCAGGAGCCAAAGTCCTGGTGTTTCTACGATGCGTCATGTGTGACATCCTGTTTCTGTTATCATTATTTTTCTTTGGCTTTCACGTCATCCCTTCGTGTCATTTACTGTGATTTCTTTCTTTGCTGCAGTTTTCCTTCTAATGCAGATGTAGGTTTGCTTATCATGGGACCGTAATTTTTTTGTTTTGTCTGCTATTTTTGTCATATTTTTTGCTGTTATTTTTATTATTCATTGTTGTACCGTCATGTTATTGTTAATATTATTTTGTTATCGTTGCTAATGTAGGAGAAGATATGGATGAGAATGAATGAAAATATTTGACGAAAATTTAATCGAAACCGGTTATTAAACATGTCACGAAGACAGTAATTTTCATTCATACATTTTTTCCGTATTTATCACAATGAACAATACAGATGCTGTTGTTTTATGTGACGATAATGAACATCCCTTTATCCCCAATGACTTTATTCCCGCATGGTTTTCTCAGGATAACTGTTACCCCCAGAACAATAGCGGTGGTTATTTCAGTCACCAGGTGGGTACGTCGCTGCGGCTCGACCTTTTGCAGCTTCTCTTTCCACGTTGTCGCTGCCTCGTTCCATCGCCTTTGTCGTTTTCATTCTATTTTCCGTTTTTTGTCGTAGTTGTAGTTGTAATGTTGTAGTTGTAGTTGTAGTTTGTTGTTTGATGAGGGTGAGGACGACGATGAAGGTTGTTGAGGATATGATTGATAATTGTTAATAGTATTGTTATTGTTTATTATTAATATTGTCATTTATGTTTATTATCATTGTCATCGTTCTCATCGTCATCATCATCGTTATCATTATCATCATTATCGTCATCATCATATCATCATTAGCATCATCATCGTCATCATCATCATCATCATCATCAATCACCATCATCATCACTATCATCATCATTACGATTACCATCATTAGGACAACGCACCACGTGGCAACCGCAGTGAGAAGGTTAAAGGTAGAATCACTCAAAGTTATTTTCGGAATTTTGTTATCATAAGAATTAGTCACGAGTCTTCAGGGAAAGAGGCTTTTCACTAATCCGCAGACTACCGAATGCGCTGGTTAAGTGATTCCGTCATAATTAGGGGGGAAAATTAGTATTAATGGTCTCTCTGCGTGCTTTATCGACTGGATACCGCTTTGCAAAATTTATGAAGCAATATTTTAGGCTAAATCTGATATGTGTGTGTGTGTTGTGTGGGTGTGGGTGTGGGTGTGGGTGTGTGCGTGTGTGTTGTATGTGTGTATGTGTGAGTGTGTGTGTGTTGTGTGTGTGTGTTGTGTGTATGTGTGTCTGTGTGTTGTACGGTTTATATTGTCAGATTTTCTTTGATTAGTTTTTTTTTCTACTTAACATTCATGATTATTAAATGTTAGTCTTTTGTGTTTTACGCAGGTATACACCCTCAACGCCATCTATCGGTTTGACGCAGCAATTTGCCTCGGGGGGGGGGGGACTGGATCTTCTTCTGGTTTAAAGCCAGAATACAGTCTTCGAAAGACCAAGGAGCAATGGACCTTTATTTCCACGTCATCAAAATCAGACTTTCTCGACATTTCTATTCCTAGAATGACATACAGTATTTTGAATTGAACCTTTTTTTGGATTAAAATGACCTGCAATGCTTCGAAAAGGATTATTCAGTTTCCCAGATAATTTCATGATCGTGACGATTTAAGGAAACAAATGGATACTTTCCTTGATATTCGGAATAGATTTCCTGCGATTTTTACTGCAGTCTGTGCTACCGATCGCGCTTGTTGGTCAAAATAAGGGTGACTAAAAAATAAAAAAATAAAAAAAAAATGTCAGGATCGGTACCAGTGCTTCAGATACAGTTTTACATGTAACAACCGGACTACTGTATAGGAATCAGTTTATTTCTAATGCCAGTTACTCTTCCACATCTATCCTGTCCGCCCCCCCCCCCCCCCCCCCCGGGTTGACATAACCACAGTGAGTAATCTCATGTGGGAATCCTATAGCTACGTCTTCAAGGAGCAGTTACATCAAGACCCACAGTTGTATGATGTCATTTTGGTCATTATTTTCTAAATTACCAATAAACCATCTTTTACTCAGAATTCGCCTTTGCAGTGACTGGAACGGAGAGTGATATGGGCGCCCTCCCCGCCTCCTTCAGGAAGACGGTGGAAGGCCTCATAAGCAACTACGAGACGAGGGTAAGAGCCAGCCCGTTTCCAGAAGGTTGTCTAAGTATATGTATGTATATATGGTGTATGTGTGTGTTATATAATAGTGTAAGTAGGAAAAGAGGCTGTGGAAGGTCTCATCAGCAACTGAATCTACCATTGTTATATTAGTAAGTTATTTTGCTTTCCAGTAATTGGGTGCAAATGCTATATGTTATATATGATAAAGTGAATAACATGAATTGAATTATATTGGAAAATAGATGTGTAATTATTTTATCTTTCAGATTTTAATTTGATATACGGAATATTCTTCTGATTATTACTCTTGAGCAGCTGCAAGAACATATTTAAAGCCGGAGTGTTGCATAGATAGATAGATAGATATACGAATTCTATAATTATGGAGGCAAGATCTTTTATTATTTTACTCTCTGCTGTAAAAAAAAGGAGATTTTTAAGGATTATAGATCAATGGAAAGTTAAGGATTTTCGACAGTAAATTTTGTTCAGAATAAACTGCTCAAGATTCCATATGATAGTAAGTGTCATAGGCCACCATATGTTAATTGACAAGAAGACACAGTGGCTAGAATGTGGTATATTTTCCTCAGTTGCCAGTAACAAAATTTTATACGTTTTATATGGTATTGATATGTTAGCCGGATTGGAAATAGATGAATACTAAGCATAAAGTTGGTTGAAAATATTAATAAAAAAAGGAATATCAGTGAGGATTTTTGTGAAATAGGGCATAACGTAAACATTAAAGCTTGAATGACAGTGCAGTTTGAAGAGTAGTAAATATAAGATATTGTTAAAGTTGTTTTTTCTTATTACCAAGAGCGGTCTGTAAGTTTATTTCATTTTCCCCGCGAGTAATTATGTGCTCTTATTTCACTGATTGCGGCCACAGCCATTTATATTCTTAATCTTCAGAGTAATATGAGATAGTACAAGATAAGAACAGCAAGGGCCTAAAAGAGAATAGTACAAGATAAGAAAAGCAAGGGCGTAAAAAAAAGAAAACCTCGCTCCCTCCCACTCACGCCCCCGGTCCCACTCCGCCCCCCAACCCCCCCGGTCCCTCCCCCGCCCGCGCGGTGGAGAAGGGGCTGTCTTCGCTCGAGTCCCGTCGCGCTTCGCTCCTCGAGGCAAACGCGACGCATCCACGACACCCTCACCTTCATGTCGCGTCGCCTCAGCCACGCAGACCCCGCTCGGGAACGCGGGCGGCGGGCGCGACGGAGAGAAGGACGGTAAGCATGGTCTCCCTGCATGAGATTGGACGGGGAAGTATCCACACACACACCACACAAACACACACACAACACAAACACAACACCACACACAACACACAACAACACAAACAACAAACACAATTAAAGTAAGTTTTATGCAAGCTTTAATTACCAAACCGCACGTGAACAAACGCATTCAAATTGTGTCCCTTCTCTCCGTTTTCCTCCCCCCCCCCCCCCTCCCCCCCCACGTGCTTTGTTGGGCATATTTTGCAGAAAAAAAACAGTAATTGTGCTTTACACTAGAATTCCTACATCGAAATCAAAATTTGTTGTGGAAAAGACGACTACAAAGACGAATTTTCAGACATGTTAGTGTATGTACAAGATATATTATATGTATATATATATATGTACTATATAATATAATATACATGTGTATGTATGTAGGTATATGTATGTAATACATGGATGTATATATAATATAAATATTTATATATTAGTTATATAAATATAATATTATATATATATATATATATATATATATATATATATATACATACGTGTGTGTGTGTTGTTTTATAGATATATATTTTATATGTGTGCGTGCGTGTGTTAACAGTTTCTGTTCCAACCATTCGTAGTAATATTTTTTTATTGTCTTTATTAATGTGTTGCTTCTTTATCAGTATATTATCATTCGTCATTCTGAATTTCACTTTCTTGTTGCCTTTTCTACTAATTTTTCTTTACTTATAATGATTATTTATTAATGTTCTGATGGTATTACTGACTGATGTCTCGCATTTATTTATACTGGAGTAATGATTATTTTGTTTTGTAAAGATAAATCGGAGGACAGATTAGTGGAGAATAAATTATATATAATGCAATTTGTGTAATTAAGGATGAGAATAAAAGATGTACTTAAAGAAACTGTTTTTATTTCCTGATGACGATGTATTCACCAATAAAGTACCGAAGCAGATGATATGAAAATAAATAAAGAATGCTGGTTGTGAATAAGTCGTCAAAGGCTTAAGAGACTACATTTCTTGGAGTAAATAAAAAAATAGAAAGACAGGAGAGACTATGTCAATATTGGGATAAGATTTGAAGTTGCATTGACAAGAAGGCGAATCATACATTAACACATCTGTGTGTCTTTGGTGCAAGTGTGTAGTTCTAGGGTTTCCACATCATAGTATATGGGGTAAAGAGATGCAAATGTTGAACAAATGGTGACCGCTAAATCTAGAAAAAATAGTGTTTGGAGGATTGGTTTCACACGCGTCTGCCTCGCTTCCCGTGTCCCTCCGACCAACAGGACCCGAGTCGCAAACCTGTCCTTCTCGGGCTCTGCGCGGGGCGGCGCGAGGAGGGAGCCTCACTCCTCGGGCAGGGTCGCCTTCTCCGGCGCGGCCGAGCGGAAGCCGGTGCCGGAGGGCGTGACGGCCTCCGCGTCCGAGGGCCACGTCCAGTCCTCGGCCGGCGTGGACACGGTCGGGTGCCACGGCACCGACACCTTCGGGAAGATGATGGCGTTGTTGGTCGTCACCTCAATGGGCTTGAAGATCTCCTTCGGCAGCACGACCAGGTCGAGGCCGTCCTCGGGGCTGTACAGGACGACGACCACGTCGCCGGAGGACAGGAGCTCGGCGTGGACGACCCTGGCGGCCTCGTGGCCGGGGGCGCGCCACCCCGGAGGGATGGACCACGTCTGGCTGGGCAGGAGGATCGGGCGCCGCTGCGAGCGCTCGAACACCCGCACGCCGTACTCGCCTGGCGCCAGGGGAAGGGCAGAGGAAGGGGAATTGACATGAGTGATCAGGAGGAAGGGACGGTGCTCTGCGCAGGCACTAGGAAAGCAACAAAATGCGATTATGCTGTGAGTCTGTATATGTAATCAAGTCTATTCACAACTGGCTTGTTCTAGCAAGCCTCTGTTTACCCCTGCCAGACAAGCCTCAGCGCTCACCGTCCTCAAGCTGCACGACCTGAACCTCCCGGCCCTTGTCCAGATTCCTGACGAGGAAAACTCCGCGCCTGAGGACTGCGGGGGGGGGGGCGGCGGGGGCGGCGGACGCCACGGCCGCCAGGCCTACGAGGATCACCAGTGGATTCTGGGAAAAAAAAGAAAATAAGTAACATAGAAAACAATGCATTTATGTGTATCAATTTCATGGAACATGGAAATGCATAACCTCTCCCTTTATATGATGTAAATTATATTCTTAAAAAATACTGTCAGCATCATAATCCATCTTTCAGCTCTCCAGTCATTCTGCTTTGTACCCTCATCTTGCTACTTCTTGAACAGCATAATTTCCAGGGACAGATGGTCGGTGACCTTTCCTAATTATCAATGCAATTATCTCATTACAAATGATCCATTGTTACGACCGGATGCAGTGGAAGGTTCCTCCGATGGGAATCCCGTTTTCTCTTATAAATCACATGATTCTTACCATGCAGATTAAAGGTAAACTATGATGGATTTGTCCTTGGCGATTTGCGAAGAAATAAGGACAATAGATTTAATAGTAGCCTATAGAAGAAAGATGTTCTTGCAGAGAATTAAACACACGGAGCATATCCCTCGATCGACCCACACACACACACACATACGTCCATAACGTGTGTGTGTCCGTGCGTCTTTGCGTAAAAAAAAAAAATATAACAGGGCTAGACAAGAGATGAACAGCCCTTCCCCCTTCCCATAATAATTTATGTCCATATGTATGTGTGTATGTATGTATATATATATATATATATATATATATATATATATATATATTATATATATATATAACACACACACACACACACACACACACACACACACACACACACACACACACACACACACCACACACACACACACACACACACACACACACACACACACGCACACACACACACACACACAGATTGGAAGAGGTGCATTAAAATTTAGAAAAAGAATGTAAAAAGTGAGATGACAACGAGCTGACTCAAAACCGGAAGTGTCACCAAGAACCAATAATTCAGAATCGATTGTCGATTTTTTTTATAGTAACATGAATCGTAAAAAAAAACGCATCAGCATGTCTGTCTATATATAAATGCATCCGCGTTTTCCTGTCTCTCTCTCTTTCTTTTTTTTACACCAAGTATTCATATATTCATATATATATATATTATATATATATATATATATATATATATATTATATATATATATATACATATACATATACACATATATATATACAATATATATATATATATATATATATATATATATTATATATATGTATGTATGTATATATATACATACATATATGTTTGTATGCATATATATACGTCTGTATGCATGCAAGTATGTAAGAAAGAGAGAGAGAGAGAGAAAAGATGGTGACAGAGGAGGGGGAGAAAGAGAGAGTTGACCAAGAATTCAAATATCCTGAAAAAATACTCAAAATCATGGTGAAGCGAAGGTCGAGAGAAGGACTCGAGAACGGCCAGCACTTGAAGGTAAAAATGCATTTGCTTTCTCAGCTCCATTTCTCTGAGCTGCCCGGGTTGCAATCATTAGTTTAATTGGTAAAAAAAGGGAGTCATTTTTTATGAAAGTGATCAATTGGTATCTTTTGAATATATTTGTATATGTAGAAGAGGTATGGATGAGACTGGATATCTTTCACAATACAAGAGATGTATTTGACCGGTTTCGATTACGTCTTCATCAGAAATACATGTGAAGATATCCAGTCTCATTCATACATCTTCTACATTTGTCAACATGGATACGTTTCATATCTGTACATATATTTTTTTTCTTTCTTTCTTTTTTGATGAAGGGAACGCCGGTGAGAATTGAAGAGAGAAAAAGGAAGGAGAAACTCAAAATTGAAAATCTACAATGACACGTTTTTTCAGTTTTAGAATTAGATCTAAGCCGTTGCTCATTCTTTAACCCTTATCCTTGTCCTTATCATGAGCTCCATCGTTGTATAATCATGCAAAACGTCCATGCAGAAGTTGCACATAAATCATGCATGACTCACATACATTGTGATCCCACTGAAAATGCCAAGTGGTTATATCCCGGTGTATATGAATATATATTAGCAGTAATAATAACAATTCTGATGATGATGATAATGATTATAATAATAATGGTAATAATAACAGTAGCAATGATGATGATGATGATGATGATGATAATGATAATAATAGCAATAATGATAATGATAGCAATTATGATGATAATGATAATGATGATAGTAATAATGATAATGATAATGATAGTAATTATGATAATAATCTTCTTGATAATAGTAATGATAAAAGAACAACAGTAATAACGGCACAACTACTCCTAGTCCTGCTACAGAAACAACTACTATCGTTACTTAAACTATAAGTAACACTACTACTAACAATGATAATGATAGAAAATGATACGAATACTACTACTAGTAGTAGTAATAAAATACTAGAACTCATGATAATAATGATAATAATGATAATATTAATGATAGCAATCATGATGATAATTATCATTGTGATAATGACGATGGTCATACTAATAATGATGATGATAACACTACTACTAACAATGATAATGATAGAAAATGATACGAATACTACTACTAGTAGTAGTAATAAAATAATAATAAGGATGATGATAATAATAATAACAATAATAATGATAATGATACTGCTAATACTACTTTTTCTGCTACTGCTACTAATAATAATAATAATAATGA